GAAATCAATTGTATTATGTTATATACTGTTATTTCGATATTTAACAATCATTCACGAAGTGACCGAACAGTGTTTGATAAATAGATAATCAGTCGACCCTGCACCCCGTACATGCTTATTTACAAATTACAGTTATTATATTCATGTTGCATGCACTAATACAAATGATTTCAATGTTATCATATTAAATATTGATAAAAAATATATATATTTATTTATTTTTTGAATAGATAGATAGTAGAGCTGTGTCCGGGAGTGCTGTAATCTAAAAGGAGTGTCGAAGCCCAAAAATGGGTCCGACATAAAAGAGCCATAAAATTAAGAAAGGACCGCTTCAAATTTCATTTTGTAGTGAAATATAAAGTGACGTTTTCGTCGTTAGGAGAATCTGCGAAGACCATCAACACACACACACACACAGAGGAACCCGTCAATATAAGGTAGTGATCCCATTTATTTTTGTTTTGTTATTAGTAAGAGGGGTGAGAGAAACAGACTTAAAAATTAACTTGGGAGCTAATATATAGGGCCAACTAAAGCTTATGTAGCTTATAGATAATGAAAAATGCTTTTATATAATAATGCTTTGATAAGATATTACAAAGCATTTATAATCAAGCTTCCACATTAGATTGGTAATTATAATCAGATAACTTATTTCCTTAAATATAGTACTGATTTGTTTTTAATTTTCATATATATAACTTAAGACTGTAATAGAATAGATAGAGAATCTATGACGTTATAAACTAAGCGAACAGACTAACAGCACAAGATGCCTGACTGACTCTAATTTCTATCATCCTTGTAAATCAATGCAAATTGGCGAATTAATTGTATCATTTATAACCGTCTATTTCGTATTGCCAATAACATAATAATAATATAGATCCTATTTATAGTAGACTCAGTGACAAACACATCTCTATAGCTAATAAGCACTATTAATATATTATTGTTATTGTGAGAAGTGTTAATTGAGGCTGAATGACTTATTTATGGAGTCTGAGCGTTAGTTTGAAACTCAAAATTTAGAAAATAAATTTCTTGCGTGACATAAACAAGGAAAAGATTTTTAGAAATTTTGCTTTTTAACTTCGTTGAAATTAATACTAATTACTTACTTTTATTTCATGCAGTGGTCCTTAAACATCTATGGTATATATAAAATGCTTATACCCCGCTCAAATATTATCGAGAATTACCAAAAAGAAATCAGAAATTGTTAGAGCCTCGTCTTCTTTACATCCATAATATTATAATTAATATTTATGACGTAGTCATAAATTACGATTTTTTTATATAATTATTAGTATAGTATAGTAAAATAAATTGCTTAACCTGGAAAAAAGGAGCCTATGTATATTTTCGACGCCTAATAGTATGCCAAAATACGTAACTATTGCTTGAGCCCTTATTGCCTACTCTAAAAGGTAACAGACAAATTAATCAATAAAAATTCATTTGCACTGTAAAGGGTTGAATGAAAATATATAGATTTTTTATACCATGAAGATGGCAAATAAGTATACAGCTCGTCTGATGGTACACAGTCACTGTAGCCTATGGACACCTGCAACATTAGAAATGTCATGTGCACATTGCCTACCCTGTAAATACCTTAACACAACCTTTTTAAAATACCCCATACTGTAGTCTTTAGGGAAAACCTCAGGGAGCTCATTACACAGTTTGAACCTTCGCGGGAGGGAACTCCTCTGAGACCACACTTTATTTGGTTTAGTCCATTTGGTTTCTAATGTGTGAGGACGAATTCCCTATCGATGGCAAGCGGTACGATGATAAAAGGTAGCTGTGAGCACCATTTCAAACAATACCTCAGAATACAGTCCTTTATACAAACAGTAGAATACAAAGACAAGCAAAGAAAGACTCGATACCGCCTGGGAGCTGGGGATAGACACGTACAATATAAAATTTTCTGATTAGGTATTATAATTTCTTGGGCGCTACAAACAAGAATATGTTATATTCAAAATAGTGAGATGGGGTTTCCTTGAATCTAAATTAGCAATTAAGCTTAGTAGTGTTACTTATGCTGTGTAAATAATAGCTTTTACGATTAATTAAGCAATATAGGAATTGCAAGGAATTATATGATCTAATTACAAATCTAATTAATATGCTGTAAAGCGCAAATTATTGAAACTATACAGAACTAAATTGAAATTGATACTTTAAAGAAGACTGGATATTATGCCAGTGAATCTGAATATTTTTTTCAATATCATATGAACCTTATTCACAGCGCGTCCAGCTTTCAAGTTAGGAGAGGAAAAGTTCCTAGAAACTTAATCAAATTTTGTTTCAATCGTGGAACCCTAAAATTATTTCTTGTATATAAGGATACAATGAAAGATTCAATTCAAAAGAAATATTAATAAGTTATGAAACTTTCATATTTGTAATTATACTAAAACTAAACTAAACTAAACAGCAAAGATTTGATTGTTTGTTTGGAATGGTTAAACTAAAAAAACTCAGCGATTTTAAAAATTCGTTCGATTATAAGAAACTACATTATCAGCGAGTCACATAGGATATATATATATATATATATATATATATATATATATATATATATATATATATATATATATATATATATATATATATATATATATATATATATATATATATATATAGTTTTCGAAAATTCTATCTACCCGCATCAAATTGGGTTGGATCGCTTATATATATCAGATTGCTATATTAGGACTATATACACAACGCACTAAACATGTCTAATATAGAATAAGGGCGGACATAGGTTCGTTATATAGATTAAAAATAGTAATTGTGGTAAATTAATGAACAAGAGTTTATACGTAAATGTAAAACTTAAGCTAACGTAGGTTAGAATTATAATACTACATTGTATTATTTATTATACTGTGGTACTACACAAACTGTGCGTTTTGACCTCACTAAAAATAAGAAAATTTTAAATTTGCCTGTATATTGTTTTGTGTGTATATTATGCGTGATAACTTCGTCAACTCTGAACGGAATTCCTTTTGCATTCGACGGCATTTATTACTCCCGTTTTGGTCTTAAATATATTTGGTCACGATTTAAGTGGCTGTTTTTTAGTGGAACGAAATATTAAAATATGAATAATGAGGTGTAACAGGATTAACAAGAATAGAATAAGACCGAAAACGTGCCAGTTTCAACAAAGACTGTTATGTTACCTATGTACTTGGGGCGTGTGTTGTGTGAGATTGGAAAATAAGCTTATGTAATATTTACAGTGACCAAATATAAAACGAATATACATTTTGAAGATGTTCAAATATAATGTAGGCAACAGGATTCAACGTAATGGAAAGGAAGGATATGTGTAAATCCAATTTTGATGTCAGCAGATAGAAGGTTTCCTAGACTGTGGAAGGATTCTTCCCCAGTAAATATTTTATTGCTAACCTCAGTTATTTGGAATGATAAAGACTGTATAGGGACCATCAAAACAAAATACAAGTTTTATAGCTATTGTTGTAAGTAATCTAATTTAATCGATGCCCAGATAAAGGTTTTTTAAGGCTGCTCTTAAAATAAAAAAGGGTTCCATCTGTTGCTGAGATTGCAGATTATTTTTATTCAAAGGTCTTTTAGATAGTATGAATTGTACTGACTAGTTTTTACCCACGACTTCCTCCGCATGACCGCGATATTTTAATTGACCAGGATAAAAATTAGTAGTAGTAGGTAAAATATGTCCTTCTCTATCACAAATTGCATGTGATATTTCAAGACGATTAATTGCGCCGATGTAACAAATAAACTCACTTACTTGCACATTTAAAATAAGGCTTACTAAATATCTCTTACTCTCTTTTGACGCTCATTATTACTAGATATAAAGAATTGTGGCATTGCTTATAATTTATGCTCTTAAAATGTAAGTACTGTACTGTACTGTACATGTATTCATATTTATCTAAGCGATTTATATAAATATTTATTTTTGAATAGGTAGCGTTTATTCTTATGTACCTTTTTAATTATGTAGTAATTAAGTTATTGTTTCTTCTTTCGTGGAACTAAAACATAGATTACTATATTATTTAATTGGGTTAGAACAAATATGTCAAAATACCGAAAGTGTCTAACTATATGCCTAACGTAATTTTAATACAATTATGTATCAAGTACTCTAAAATTTAGTTATGAACCTCAAGATACCAAATGTCTAAATAAATAAATTTAAAAACATTGCCTAAGTATATGTCGTATGTTATATTTATTGTTTACTATTTTCTATTTCTTTGTCACTATTCTCCTATTATTTATTTAAAAAAGAAATATTTAAAATCTATATTTCCTAATGCGTTAAAAGCAACAAACCCAACCCATGTGCATAATAATGGTCAACCTACACAATAATCACAAAGGATGCATCTTCAGCATTTACTAAACGTATGATAGCAGTTTGTATGATGGAATGTGATATGTGTCTAGTACATATATACATATATATGCTATATTCCTGTATTTAGTAACTCGCCTCCGCTTAAGGATGTGTACATCTATTTTTTTTTAATAAAATACTGTCCATCTCACTCGCTGATAATATAGCTTTTAATAAGTAAAAAAAAAAAAATTAAAATGGTTAAAGTATTTTCCAACTTTATCCATTACAAACAATAAATCAAATACTTCTTCTTCATAATATCAATTTAACTTGTCGTGTGAAGGTACCCTTTGATGTCAGGAGGAGTTGAGAATAACTTCATTATACAAGATGACCTCCGACGTGACTTGCTGGACGACCGCTTTCAAGTTGGAGCAAATAAAATACATTTTCAAAATTTCATTAAAATCTGTCGAGCAGTTTCGTTTTGGAGATTAGTACGAACAAACTTGGTGACACTGTGTGTATATATAATAAAAAAAAAAATAAAATTATAATAAATTATTTTATTATAAATTCAAAGAAATTATTTTTTCTTTCTATATGTATTAATATAAATACTTACCATCAGTGGGTGTAGTCTGCTGACTGGAATTGATCCTGGGCCTCTCTTCCCCGGCGGCAATATGTTTAGCAGTCCGCCGCGCCACTGGCCGTAGTTCTCTATCCACGTCACTTCCCTCCTCCTCTTCGTAACCGTATTCCATCTCTGCAACACAATCATATCCTTGTTCATATATAGTAATAAATTAAAAGTGAGTTTATTTGTTACTTCTTAGCACAACAACTCAATCAATCTTCATCAAATACATATATCTAATTTTATACGAACGATACATGCACATAATATGCTACTTTTTATTACGAATATGAAAAATTTTCTTACTAATAGCAATTGCAAATCAGATGATAGCTCACCATTAGGAAAGTGGTAACCACCATCCTTCAGTCATAAACAAGACAACAGGCACCGTCTGCGCATGACGAGTGCTACGGGTAGTTGTTTATGTATACAGGGTGAAATCGAAATTATAATCATCTTTGATGGGTGAATGTTCTACCAGCGAAACTGAACACTTACCAAAAAAGCGTGGATTGAAAAAGACATAAAATTTTGTGCCTCCCCTACTATAACTAACTCGGCATGTTAACTTAGTATGGGAGACTAACCCTCTTATTTATAGAAACGTCGAAACTCTCATAAACCTATTTTAGCTATTGAACTGTTTTGTCTCTTTATTTTATGTTTTTTTCCCAATTTCAATGAAAGTGACAAAACAGTTCAATAGCTAAAATAGGTTTATAGTAGGTGCTCGTTTTTTATTAATTAGAAGGTAAAAAAAAATATTCAATTTGCATGAGTAGATTGTTTGTTTTACGTAGCGGTAATGAATTTGATTTCATCCGTTTTGTACTTACTGAGTCCCCATGACAATGTGTTTTCATTCCTAAAACATAGTTTGATGTATAAATAGATATACTATTTATATTTACATATGAACTTAATAGAAACAACTTTCAGTGAACTGACTACATTTCTAGTTTCACTTACTTTTATAACTCATCTCATAGATGCACACGAGATAGATGGTGCAGTCTGAGGGAGAAGTTAAGCTTCTCAGGACTTGACTCCTTTCCTTAGATAACAAAGTTTTATTTTATGCAACTTGGAACAGCAAAGTATTTAACTTTGTAATCATAACAGAATAGTCCTTCGTTTCTCAGACAGCTGTTTTAGAGATGCTATCATCTGTCATTATTTCAACACACCTGACACGTACTGCACTATTTTTATACTACTATTTCTCATACAAAATTCTTGCAATAAGTATTGTATTACATCGATTTTTGCAAGCTCGCATTTCGACCGCGTTATTTTTTCATTCTGCTTTTCACTACGTATGATGGTAATGTATTCCTCTGGGATAGTTTATAACGTAAACATATGGCTTAGGTAACAGTAACGTTATCTACAATGTAGAACAGGGATGCCTATAACAAGGATGTTGTCACGTGCATGTAACCCTACACCACGTTTCTATCGAACATACTTCATGGAGTTAAACATATATAATATATGTATGTAGAGTTCATAATAAGTTCTATTCCTGTTCATATATAAAACATGTACTAAGCGATATCATAAAAATTAATTCTCTTGTATTTTCTGTGTGTACATTTGTTCGCCAACTCTAGATTGAGTTTAGCAATAATTTTTGCACTCGATAGAGCTATTCATATACTAATTGCTTATAAATTTTATTAATATTAAATTCGCTGTAATTTTTTCGAGAAGTAAGTCTTTATTTACTTCTAGTGTTATCTCGATACCTGTTTTCGCATATATATACAATTATGAATGAATAATGCATTATGACATGTAACAATATTGTATTATGCACAAACAATATCATCGTCGTTAAAAGTTTAGTAAGTACGTACTAAATTTTATTGTAATAATTACATGTATTTTAGTCAAGAAAACTCGACTAGTTTCAGGACCATCCGTGATCTTTAGTCATAAGTGATTGTGACACAAGCGTGAGCCTGACTGCCTGACAGGTTTCCGAGGAAATGTCACAGTGTCGCTTCGCCTGCCGTGTTATTGTCACGGACTGTGTTAGTAAGAAGAAGTCTACAGTGCTCAGCCGTTCATTTCCAAAGATCTCCAAATGTTTCTTATCTGCGACGGAGCTGTGAAAAACTACAGCTCACACTGAGCGGGCCTCGTCTCGCGTTCGTGTCACAGTCGTTCATGACTACCCTTATTCCCTGATGGTCCCGAAACTAGTCGAAGTTTTTCGATATGAGACTTGAGATCTTTTTTGAAGTTAATTAAAAATATGCATAAGAACAGAGCTGTATGCTCTCGTTTTCAGCGAATAAATTGTACCCTATTCCAATAATTAATATATATCTATTAATAACCAGAAAGGTTACAACATTTTCACGGAAAGCGAAATATTCTTATTACTTTAATATAATTTGTGAACGTATATCTAATTTATATATTCTTATTATTAGGAAGTTCATAAACTCTTATATATTATGTTTATTTAGAAATATTGCCCGCATCTTATATATTTCCACGGAACTTATAAAAAAAACGTAAAAATGTCTAGTATATTTTAAAAGCATTATTGCTTCTGTAGATGAATGGATGATTTATAAAATAGAACCTAGATTAATTTAAAAAAACGATGCTTGGCTATTTATTTCCAGTGATATTTTATTTCAAGAAGTCGATGACCTCACTAGATAATAAAAAAACAAAAACAAATGAAACGGATTACATTCATCCGCGCATGCGTATTGAGTCTATATGTTACTGTTCAAGATGAAACTAGAATAATACATAGTAAAGGTTTTCAATATACTTAAAGGATTGTTATTATATAAAAAAGAAAAACTCGAGATTCAAAATATATCAAGCAAAACATATTCAGGCACCAATTTTTGGTCGTTTGTGGCCAAACATGCCGAAATTCAGTGTTTCTATGACAACTACTTATTTATTTTCATTTTAATTCGGGACAATTTTGACTACAAGTATGAATATAAAAATCCAAGAGACATTTATATCTGTAACTTTTATAATTATTATGTCAGATGCGATAAAAAAATTAATATAAATAGCGTACACAGATATACATATATCTAGTTTTAAACTTTATTCTTGCTTTGATTTCATACTTATTTACTTCATCAGAAATTATCAAGACAAAAGTTTTGTAAAATGTACAACCAGATTTTATATTTGTAAAAAAATTAATAAAAAAATATACATGTTTAATATAAAATGTGCTCTAAACCATTCGTCATTAGGTAGTAATTAAGGGAAGTGCACTCATAAGATGATTTACATAGTAATGGTAAGTATGCGGGTATTATATACGAGAATACTCATAGTTACCTACCTCTCTATAAATCTCCTTATAAGTACCTACTTTATTGAGAGGTTTTCAAAAAATAAAGAAACAAAACAAGTCTGTAATAAACTTAAAGAAACAAATTGAAAACAATAGGGTCATCATTAAATGAGATTTCCTATTTTCAATAAGTATATTTAATTAAACAAAATGTTAATTTTAATGAATAATTACAATTAATCTAAGTCGAATGTCATTGTGTTTTATAATTTGTACCTGTGGAAAGTATATTTGTTAAATAAGTTCACGGTTTAGGGATTCAGAAATTTAAATGAAACAAAAGCGTATACGTTTGATCCTGAGTTTTAAGTTTGAAATTGGATTTCATTCGAAGAAATGTTTTTGAGTCGGAGCAACGACCCGTAACACATGTAAGGGTCCCAATAAATAGCAATGTTTACAAAAATAAACGATTCGTGTCCAACAAAATACGTAGATATAAGTACAGTTAATAAAAAAAAAGTTGACATAATGATAGAAATGGAAATGATTTTTATTCAAGTCCACTACAAAGTTAAATTTGTGTACTTTTTTACTAAATGCTTACTTTGATATGTCCGTACATACTTTATACGTGTTTAATATAATTTATATATATTATAAAGTCATTTAAAATTTTCCATTTATTATCACAAAACCCCCTACTGGCTGTTGTGCCACGGTATATAATAGTACCACTTCATAGTAGTTAAATTCTATGATAATATAATTTAATAATATAATTTTCTATTACACTCAAATACAGTAATAATATCAAGTATTGGAAATAATATGAGCAAGGTTAACTTATCTTTAAAAGAGCTCTCTTTTGATCAACTCAAGAGAGTATTGACAATTTGTTATTATTATTTTATAGCTGTACAAGATTGCTGGCAGTATACTCAATATTGGATTACCTCATAATGTATAGATTCTTCAGTGTTTTTTCAAATAAAAAATGTAAATAATTACCATAATTTTAAGTCAAAAATATAAGCAATTTATTATTTTATATCTAATATTCATATATCAAACTTCATTTCAATCCGTTCATCCGTTGAAGCATGATTGACAAATGTTCAAGTAAACATAGAAACTCAACATATAGGTATTTGTAGGAAGATCAGACTGATGAAATGGTTAATGGGGTGATTGTTCTAGAAACCTGCAGTTATTCATTGTACCGTTTAATTAACACAGGTAACTATTCTAGACTAAGGATTCAGCCATTAACGTAATCATGTGGCATTGTCGTATGTGGGTATCTATCTGATTCCTATGGGATATAGAGAAGGAACCGAGTCGTAGAGACATCTGCATACAGTTCTAGTTAAACCATTTACATTTCCATTTTATCAAAGCATTTACTCTCAGAAAGCACACAAATTTTAAATACTATTTTTGATTAGCACTAGTTAGTTAGTTTTATTACATTAATTGATTTACAAATAAACAGGTGTCCATAAAAGTATTAATACACAAAAAAGTTTTGTGTATCAATGTTTTTGTAAACAAGTAAATTTTGCTCTACAAAAAAAAAAAACCACACCGATTTCAATCGTAGCAACATTCAATTATTATTGTTTTCACTATTCTTATTTTATAATTAATAGCACACAATGAATCAGTTATTTTTATTTAAGAACCAAACTTTTTATAAGCCGATATCGATAAAATTTCAATAGAGCTATTTAAATGTATATCCCTTCAAACACAAAATAATTTTTCGAATCGGTTTATAGATATCGTAGTTCGGAGAACTTCTCCTTCTCTTTTTGAAGTCGATTAATAAACTAAAAAA